AATTAAATTATATAAAGTTGGATTTTAATAGATAATTTTATAATTATATTAAATATTAAGTGTCTTTTTTTTTAAAAAACCACAGCTAAAAAGTTTCAAAATAAGATTTTTGACTTTATATATAAAAGTTTTTTAAATTTATTATAATTATTAAAATATTATAAATTATGATGTAATTAAATTATATAAAGTTAGATTTTAATAGATAATTTTATAATTATATTAAATATTAAGTGTCTTTTTTTTGTAAAAAACCACAGCTAAAAAGTTTCAAAATAAAATTTTTGACTTTATATATAAAATTACCGTAAATTTATTGTAACATTTTGTAACTTAAAAAAAAATAATCTAGAAAAAATTACAAAATACATATATATATATATATCTAAAAGCACTATACAACTACACGAAAAAACTTTCAATTGCAATCCCAAACGGACCGATAGGTTATAGTGGACTCTGTCTCGAATTGGTACAGATACAAATACGTTAAATATACTGGCTCCTTCCTTAGATGTAAAAATGCAAAACCCTGCCTTAAGTCTCTGAACTTACCCTATATTCTCAATTAAACCCTTAAACTTTTATTGAAGTAAATAAATCTCTAAACTTAACAATTGGAACAATTTAACTCTTTTTTTTTTTACGACGAGCTTAACGCTTGGTTATGCATTACTTGCATGGATAAGATAATGAAATATCATTGTGTACATGATGGGTATTAATCTTATTTAGGTAAACAAGACACAAATCAACGTTAAGTCCACCTTAAGAAAGAATATTAAATTGTCCAAATTATCAAGTTTAGGGGCTTATTTACTTTAATAAAAGTTTAAGAGCTTAATTGAAAATCTAGGGTAAGTTTGGGAGCTTAACGTAGGGTATAGCCATGTAAAAACTCGGGAGAGCAATCAAATGAAAGTAAACTGCAAAAACTGTCGACCAAAAGTATATCATTCCAGCATGCATCATCCATGTTTTCAGTTAATTTCAACAGCTTAAATAAAATGAGTAACGGTCATGCAATGTCAAGCTAAGTTACAAAAGTATACCAAAGCAGAGAAAACAAGAAATCTTTGCATCATCCATGTTCTCAGAGAATTTCAACAGCTTAAAATTACGATAGAGTAACGGTCATGCAGCCCCAAGCAAAGTAGGATGATGTTGAAAAGAACATAAATAATGCTCGAGTGTTTCACCATTTAAAGAGTCAGGTTTATTTCATTGGTGATGAGCAAACTAAAAATTTGCAAGCCCTTTGAATCCACACATCATTTCATGCCTTTTTACCTGTCACACCTGCTACCACCTGCAAAGACGCAACAAATTTAATATGTTAAAGACAGCAAAACCAGAGCAAAGTTCAAAGGGTATCCCTCCCGTTTTAGACACGATAATTTAATCCTGTCATTGCAACCTGGCCTATCCTTGTGCCCTCAAATATAAAAATTGAATCAAATATTACAATGGATGGCATGAATAATCAGGCTGATCTTCTATAAGAATGTGCAATGAAACATCAACCATCCATTATGTAGCATTCTATGCAAGTCCTGTTTTTATTTTTTTTTATCATTTATTTTTTTTTTATCATTTATTTATTTATTTTACATTCCACCCTTCTATAATGACTAAAGAGAATATGCGTTCCCTTCTTTTACTTATAAACCATCATCGAGACCGTTTTGATACATCATATCACAACCAAATGTATGGTAGGTCTGTTGAGTCCTTAAAACAAAAAAGGTAATACTAACAGCCAAGAAAAACATCCTGAAATTTAGTATAGAGCATGATATTGAAAATGTTGTACTTACATCACTCAAAGCAGGTTGACGAACTTGCTTTGATGATTCCAATGAATCAAGAATAGGCCTTACCACAGCTGGAAGGAAGAGACCTGCACATTTAACAATGGGGTGAGCTGATTACAAACAGGATGGACCATCCATTTACAAAAAACAATCCCAGTTTTAAGTATATACATAATATAATCCAACACTACCCTTATAATTCAAAATTTTCCAAAAACATTTAAACCCCAATGGACTCTTCATTCTCTAGCTCACTCTCTCTTCATCCTCAAGCTCTGCATATAGCAATTCATTCTAACCATGACACACATTGTCATTTATTCTAAAATGCATCCTTTCATGTTATGTCATAGATTTGTATATGATGACATATAATTTATACTGTCAATCCAACAACCAGGTATGTTCCTTGTGAAACAAATTGAGAAAAATAGACATCTACTCACTGGCATCCAAATGATTCCTCCCCAGCCGCATCAAGGAAGCTCTTAGTGAAACATTTGGAAGTGCCTCATTTGAGTATTGGAAGAGCAAAAGAAGAATTCCTAACTTAAGAACTACCAATTCCGAGGCCGAATCATGAACATCATCATTGTTAAAATCAAGCCACAGATGAAATTAACATCAGCCGAAAGAAAAACAGAAAAAAAAAAAGGCACTCAATAAGCATCTAGATTAAAGAAGCTCGATGAATCTAATTAACTTGGAAACACCAAATCTGAGGCTTTAGTCAGTAGAACACCACTCTCAACATGCAATTCCTTTCTAGTTTGACATAATCGTAAAGAACCCTAGATCAACAGTTGATCAAAGAGCCAGAAACCAGAGAAGGAGTTAGAAAACGAACCAACGCCGGCAATGAAGCAAGAAGCAGCGACGACAGGCTCCTGCACCACGAACATCTTCAGCTTCTCCATCACCGCCATATCTCCTCTTCGTATCTCTCGATTTCTCGTGCACTCCTCACTCTTCAATTTCTTCGAGTTTCCTCGAGTCCTTTTGGGGATTTTTTTTTTTAGTCAAAAATGGAAAAAAAAAAAGTTCATTTGAGTCCGGCAACAAATTACAAAATTTTAGTATACCGGGTCGGGTATCCGAAATGGAAATGAATTCCTAATTTTCATTACCTCAACTTGAGCTAATTTTTTTGTATTTTTTTTCTAACCAGGTTAAGATATGGTAAACGCATTATTTTAGTATCAATTTATATAAAAATATGAAAGCTTACTTTTAATTTAAACATTATTGTCACTTAAATGAATTTAATTAAATAATTGATAAAATTAATATTAATTTTTATTTTTAATTTTTAATGTGTACTCTTAAAATACAAATTAAAAATATCATCCCCTGTCCACAAGTATTTTTGTGGCTTTCTTGTAGCTTTCAGCACAATCCATATTGTAATATAGTGGTGGACAAATAGTTGGTTAACCGAATAGTTAATTAAAATTCAATTAAAAATGGT